ACACACACACACACTGCTTGCCTGTGGCCAACACCCACTTCTTCTAAAGCCTCTTAACAGCTAGAACCAAAACAAAGCTGTGCGTGAGGCTGCACTCTTACTTCTCTGTGAGAGAAATGAATGAACACACCAGAGGAGTTTGCCTCACACTGATGGATTGATTTGTAGTGACTGATGAAATATTGAAGAAGCCAGTGCTTGTGAGATACAGGATTCTCCCTGTGTCCAGTGTTTCTGCTGGGGGCGAGAAAACTACAGACACTCCAACTGTGTTTGGGTATAAAAGTTTAATTTTCTCATGATGCAATTTCAAACCTGTGAATGTTCGAATATCCATTTCATGAGGGCTTTAAAGATCTTGTATAACTGAAAGCTCCACTGCAGCTGCTGAAGTGACCGTGTGCTGTTGTGTTTAATGTCAGAAATCTCAGATATGCTGAGAACAATGACCCACAAATATAAAAGATGTATGCAGCCACCCACTACATGAAGTCTACATTTTGGAGCTCTAAGTTAGCTCAGTTAGCAAGCTCCTGGCATAAACTGAATGAGTGCACAGACACAGATACCTGCTATTTAGTTATGTAATGCCAAGTAATATAAAAAACTGCAAAAAACACAAAATGCTAGATTGAACTAAAGCACAAGCTTCTTGGACACACTGTGGCTCATATTCCTTGTCACATTATTCCATTAAAATGGTCCAAACAGCACAAACCTGGTTGAGAGGTCCAGCTCAGGAAATTAGAAGAGGTGAGGCCAACCTAACAGTATCCAGTCTGGTGAGTGATTTAAAAAGAAATCACTCACCATACGGTTGTTATTAAGGGGAAAGTGCCTCTTCAGATAGAGGATTGGAGTTGATGTGGATTGAAAACACTGTAGGTTCTGCATCAGCATGTTTTTGTTGTTTGTAGCTTCTTGATTTTCTTATCACACATATATGAAAAGAAACAGCATCTTTAAATGCAGCCATCTGAAAATGTTAGCTAAATTGATCTCACTCCTTTCCACTTATATTTGACTTTTAGACCAACTACTGAACATTAAGTAGCAGCTTTAAACTCATCAGGATCTTCTCATATAAAATCAGCAGTTAATAATTTTCTGCAATCTTTGCAAAATCGTTATGAATCAGGTCTGTCTAATCGCCGTCGGCAGTTAACGATCATATTGTCCATTGTGCTGCAGATCTGTAACCTTTCAACCTCCAGAGTGCCAGAAAGCCAGGCGACCCAGCGCAGCACATTGCTGTCTGCTGAGTCACTAACCAGTACATTATTCCATTAAGACCAATTATGTTGTGTAATTCCAATTGAGGCAGTCATGTGACTAACTGTGTTCTAGCTGACTCACAGATGAGATATGATATCCTGCTTACCTGACAGGCACAACACAAAGGGTCTGGGCTATAAAATAGTCCCTCCATTGGGACAGGGAGAATTGTTTGACTGCGCAGCACTTCCCATTCCCGAATTGTTGGGTAACTCGGGATATGCTGGAAGCTATGTACATTTTTAGGCATTGTCTCTTTTTACTATATACAAGGAAGACAAGAATCCTGATTCTTGTCACTTCACTGAAGTCTTGGAATCACCTGATCTTTCACCCAAGAGACAGGGGGTCATGTGTATGATGCCATTTTTAGACTCGATAGAAGAGATATATTTCACAGAGGATGATAAATGTGGCAGGAGGGAAAAAGGAAGACCTCAGACAAGCTTTGTGGAATTAGTGAAGGAGGACATGTAGAGGAGGATGTCAGGGACATTGTGAGATGCAGGCAGATGATCTACTGTGGCCCGCTCAGTGTTGTATTTATGTCTTGATGCATGCTCAATCATCCAGTAAGGAAATCCGCCCCCCAAAAAAGTTGATTCTGTTTATCTGGACGTAGCGTTTTGTGGGAGAAAAGTTTTGTCACTCATCCAAGTGACTTCTTCAGTCTCAGCTGACTGCAGGTTTCCCCAATCGAGGTGGCTCTTCTGTGTTGTGCCATCTGCTTCACCAGAGATTGTTTGGGTTCCTCAATGTACAAATCCTGGCAATCCTCCTGGCACTTAACAGCGTACACTATGTTACTCTGTTTGTGTCAAGGGATTCGATCCTTGGGGTGGACCAATGGTCTTTGATCAGTGGTCATGGCAATTTGCCTATTAGTGAAGAAACTGACCTCACAGCCCATTGTTCCTTCAGTGATGCTGGTTTCAGTCATTGTGCAAATGTACTCGTTATAAAGTTTGGGAAACCTGCAGAGAGCTGAGACTGAAGAAGTCATTTGGATGAGTGACGAAACGTTTCTCCTACTGAAAACGCTACATCCAGATGAACAGAATCAACCTTTTAGGGGATGTTTTATCTATAATTTCTGAGGGTTGATATGAAGGTTTATCTGCAAAGTGTATTGACGATAACTATATTCTAGGAAAGTGTAAATAGGACCTTAATATCAGTGGTTAGGTTTCTCTGTGTTGGTACTCAGTTTGTTAAATTGTATCTATTATTTATATTATTTCCTCTGTCTTCATTACATTTTGATTAATAAGGCTTTAAAGTCAAAGCTGTGTTAATGGTATAATAAGCGAAAGTTCACCAGCTCTCCAAAATAAAAATCTCATAAGAAGTCTGTATTTTTCCTCACTGAATGTAATGTTCTGTGGTGGGTAGCTCAATACTGAACATTCAGAGAAAATTATGGGAGAATATTTGGGGGCAGCTTTGGGAGCCGTAACAAAATCAGAGTGTACTTTTCTTGTGCTGGTAAATGAGAAAGCGATTAAAAAAAACATTAAGTGAGGCAATCCATAATCGCTCTTGACAGGCTGCTTCCCAGCTGGGAACAAATCTCATCACTGCACATTTCTGCACGAGCATTTCTCTGAAGCAGAGCTGCTGTGACAGAAATAATGACGCTGCCGAGGGAGTGAAACTTCTCTTCTAGCACATAATCGAGCCAATTCAAGCTCCTCTGTCATGGGAAAGGTTGTGACCAGCTTTCAAAACTTCCTTCAAATGATTTTAAACTGTGACATTTAGAAGCACTCGTTCACTTGGAGCCCAGTTTGTCTAAATATGATCAAATACTGTTCCCTGTAGTAACGCAGCTAATCTCATGATGGTAATAGCCCTGAACTATAGTCACACCCAGTGAGTATAAGGCGTTTAACATGTTGTCTCTGCATTTCCGCTTGCACTTTAAAGTTTTCTTGCATGTTTTGTGTGTTTGTTCCTCTGTAAGAAACACACAAACAAGCACACAGTTCTTTTGCTGTAAAGAACCGCGGGATACCAGAAGTATCTTGAGTGTTGCAGGGGAAAGTGTTTTTAAGTCAAACAGAAACCTTTGACGGTACACAGCTGCTGGTCTGATCAATATTAAAATGAGGACGTGAGCTCTGGTTTTCTGGGGGACCAAACATACTGTTTGATCCACTGTTTGATCCACTGTAAGCACAAGAAAGTTATCAGAGGTAAAAAATAAATAAATAAAATAAATGTTAAAATATGTCAGATTCCTTTTCCCTCAATCGATGAAGTTAAATGTTTATACAAGTTGAATATTTTAACTTTATGCTGTATTATTTGATTCTCAGCTGTTATATGGAATCAAGCATTTTCGTTTTGTTACTGAGTTTATTGGACTCTTTAGATGATGGGTCCACTGGATTGCTTTGCCAAGTGTGAAAACTGCAGTGAAGTCACTGAGTAAGTCGTTACTCACATGAATTAAATGTCTCACTCTCCCTTTTGTTGTGGTGCTAGCGTTACTGCGTAGGAGTGAAGTTGCCTTAAATGTTAAATATTGTTTTAATCAAACATTTTGTTTGAATCAAGAAGAAATAAAGTACATATTTTTGCCTTTCCACTGTGATCTCTATATTGTAGATGATTCAATATGGAAAACCTGAGGGAGTGATGTTTTTCACTTGAGTTTGCGGTTGTACGGCTTGTGGCTCATGGACAGTTTCAGAATATGTTTTTTTACACTTAAAGGAAAGGAAGTATTTATGCACAAAGAAGAGCACCAGCCAGCATTATTTTTTTCATAGAGGTACTGTCCTTGTGCTAATTAATAAACTGTGTTAAAATATTACTATCAAACGGACTTATTACAGTTTTTCAGTGTTGGGTAAGTTACTTTAAAATAGTAACTTAGTTACATTACTAGTTACTTCTCTCAAAAGTAACTCAGTTACTTCAAGTTACTCGTTACTTTCAAAGTAACTAGTTACTAGGGAAAGTAACTTTGGTTTTACTCAGAATTCTCTTGTTAATGTG